TTTTTTTTTTTGGGTTAAAATTGAAGAAAGTAATCTATAAGAGAGAGATCAAGCTCAATTGTTTATAACAACTTTTCTTCATTTTTCTCTCTGGAATTCCAGATTTGTAAATCTCTCAAGGCTAATTTGTTTCTCATCTCCATGAATTAGCAATTGTGAGTATTGTTTCTTTGTTTTAGTTAACGTTGATTCAATTGGTGAATAATACATAGTTTAATTTCTTTATCCCATTTCTTTCTTGCCACTGTAATTGAGCTCAATTTGCGTGAAACCTAACTCTTAGATCTTGTTAATTGATGTCATAATCGACGAAGAAGATGTGGTTGCGAAGTCCTTCTACCACCAAAGGATATACGAAGACTGGTCTGAGATCAATTTTACATGGGTAATACTTGTGTTTCAAAATCTCATATAATTTCGTGGTTCAACGAACGAAATCTAAANATGTTAGCAGATNAACTTAGAAAGCAACCTAAACATATTGAAAGATAGTCTCNTGCTTANAATAAAATAAATGGTCAACATAAAACACTTTANTTCCTAACTCTCTTTNAAACGGATCTGGATAAGTTTTTTTNTTTTGTAGATGATTGATCGAACTCCTCATCATCAGCTAAATTAATAGTCTGTTTGTTGCTTGGAGTGGAGGTTTGAAACTCAGATGTGTGTATTCCCTCATTGTTCGACTCNTCACCNGCAGTGTTTNATTGTTGAACATTTGAGTTGCGACTCGAGTCTTTGGTGTCGCTTTGATAAGAAGTAGTGTCAATCTTTAAAATAGGTAACATTTTTAGAAATGAAAATAAATCTAGTGAGAGTAAATATGGAATGTATAAAACCTGTTCTATAGCCCTAGCTGAAATAATTGGTCCATGGGTTAGCTCAGAATCACTGCAAGTCTAATTCCAGTTTGACAAAAAATAATTATTATACAAATAAAATAGTAAGTTGTTAGTTAACAATATAAGAACGGAAGATGTTCATACCAGTGCAGAACAACTTTGTTCAAACTTTTGTATAGTGTCACGATCGTCAGTTAGCTTGACCACGTTATATGCACATCCTTTGTAGATAGTTGTGTCTGCGTGTTTAACTTTGAAAACAAAGTTACGACCTTCCAAATCAAGTAGCTCTTGAGGAAAATGACCCGAGCGAGTGAACTACAACAATGTTGAAAAGGACATAGTAAGAAGAAGAATACCCAATATCTTAGTCGGAGACAAAGACAAATTGAGCTAGATGTATAGCAAAGACGTAGAAAATAAATACAGAGGCATAGAATACTCAGCTAAGTCTCGATGAATCTAACTATACTCAGCTAAGATGTGCATTCTATTTTTTTTAATCAGATAGATCAACAGAGCAAAAGTAGATCGAGTTAAATGTGTATAGAAATAAAATGAATTTCAATGAAATTTATTTTAAATTCTCATAGTAGATGTTTAAGATAATTTGTGTACCTCAAGTTGTTCCTCCAGCAAGTCATTAACAGACTTTTGAATAAGTTTCTGCAAAGTATTGTCGAATAAGAGGAATGATGCAGTACCAGTATTGTCAACTACTCTAACTTGCAATTTGAACTTGAAAAAAGATATTAGATATTAATATAATGTGGGTAAGTATTGTTGGAAAGTAAATTTGAGAAGAAAAAAATAATAAATGTGTATGAACTTTGTCGCTGAGGTAGGTTAATCTCTCTTGCATTTGTCACACGAAAATGTGCCTGGTTCTGTTTCCTCAGTCACATAATTAAAGTAGGGAGTAACTTTTGATGAACAAGTGATGCAACCAATATAAAACTAAGGAATATCATATTGGATTGAAGAAACCGTAGCAAGTATATTTCCCATATGTCCCTATAGTTTATAGTAAGATAAGGTTATTAGGTGTAGTGAAAGTGAAACCATTATAGTTATAACATAATAAAAACATGTCATACCTTGGCCAACTCACTAATTTGAGCAATTGTTCTTTGCTTAGACAATGGGAAGGTTTCTGTTGCAAGTTGCGTGGAACTTGAAGGTGTAAATTGTGGGATAAAAAAGTTGACTTCTGGGTTGGTTGATTTAGACATCCTATAGAAAATAAAAAAAATTGTCATAACGATATTAAAATAGTTTGTAGAACGTATATACTAAGTTTTAAGTAATGATTTATGAGTAAATATACTTTGCTTTAAATTCAGAAATCTCTTTAACTACAGGATCAATGAAGAGTTTTGTAGCAAACATTGAACTTTGAATTGAGATGTCTCCTGAAAAAGAAAAAATCATAAATGAATAACTTATTGTGTAACCACAAAGATAAATGGTAACATACCAGATTAAAACTAACCATGAAACAAATTTATCTTCATCATACTACTAAGTAAGATGACAGGGCCAAATGGGGAACTCTTAGCATAGCAAAATATATTATCTGCAAATTGTTCCCATAGAGTGACATTGATAACCGAACCCCTATGACATGAAGGATAATGTTTGTTTAATTATAAAGGAATGTCATAATCTTGCCAAAAAAACATAAACCAAAGGAATGATCACACTTACGTAAGGTCCCTTAGCTGCAGAGTTAGTATTCTTGACGGACGACCACGATATGTCACGTTTTTAATCTCTTTCATCTCCACAATCTCACCAATAATAACTGAAATCACACAAATGAGAATCAGTTTATAACATAAAACAATTTGCATATGGAAAAAAGATGGAATACACAAATGAGAGTTAGAAGCATACCAATGAAGACATTTTCATCAAGAGTTCCAGCATTTATGTCTGAAAAATTAGGGAATTTATAAAGTTGCGGTAGGTTTGGAATATCCTCACAATCTTTCACATATGTTGTGAATAAAAAGTTGATTTTGTAAGGGTGTGAGCTCCCTCGATAGCTTCCACGATTAGGCAACAATTCGAAGTTCATTATTGTACAACACTTTCCTTCTTGAAGAAACTTTTCGAATTTTGACATGAGATTGCCTTTGAGAAAAGCTTGTATTCTATCCTCCTGAATACAAAAGAAAGGAAAACTATATTAAGAAGAATCCTTATAATACAATCATTTTAACTACTTTGAAAATTTAGAAACGTAATCTCCACTCTCTGTTTTCTTTTCACTTATGAAAAAAACGTAGATTTCAGAAACTTACGATTGCATGTTTCCCCACGAATTCAAAAGAAAAATCATTTTAACTACTTTGAAAACTTGAAAAGTAATCTCCACTTACTCTTTTCTTTTCATTTCTGAAAAACGTAATCTGCTTTTGGGTTTTAGGAAAAGCAGGAAAGAAGCCGTTTATTTGTTGTTGATAACTTTTTATACGATCTTCAAAAATGAATTGTGAAATACGAAATCTCAATTTTTAAACTGAATTGAATATGAAAATCCCAATTAATAATCATAAGGAATCATAAATTTCATCAATCCAACACGAAATCAAACCCAACACGAAATCTAAAAACCCAAAGAATCCAAATTCATAATCATAAGGAACCCTCAATTCATTAACAAATAAGTAGGTTTGTGAATAGAAATCTGACCTTTTCATTTGTGAATAGAAATCTGACATTTTCATCAACCAGAAGTAGATTTAATCCAATAAAAGCACCATGATTTTCTGGCTTTTGAAATCCCCAAACGCGGACGATGCGGACTTTGATTTTACATACTTCTGTTTCATCACAAAGATATGAAATTGATGAAAACTCAAGCATACTGCGATTTAAGTTTCGGATAAACAGAAAACTGATATTTGAGTTTGG